GACCCTCGAATCCCCCAGGGAGCCCGGCCTGCTTCCCGTTCCCGGTGCCCCCCGCGGCATCTCAGCGGGGCCGGCTGCACCTCCGACTCACCCTCGACGAGGCGCCCGACTACTTGGGTAACTCGAGCGAGTGGATCACCATCAAGGAATACCCCGACCTCGTCTTCGTCCAGACCGATAAGCCGCTTTACCTTCCCGGGCAGACCGTCCGGTTCCGGATCCTGGTCCTCGACGCCTCCCTCAAACCCCTCGAAAACACGGTTAATCGATTAATCAAACGAATCTCAATCGATAATCGAGTTCCCAACGCGACGAATGCGTCCGACGCAGGTGAGGGAAGTGTGGGTGGAAAATCCATCGGGAATCCGGATCGCCCAGTGGATGGAGCCATCTTCCACGACCGGTTTCGTTCAACTTCAGTTCCAGCTTTCCCAGGAACCACCTTTGGTACGTGTACTATGGTACGATTGAGAGTATTTTAATTCTCGACGATGATGATGTAACCAGTGATTTATTATTTAAAACAAATATGAAACCAACTGAGACATTTCGAAAAATGTACAGTTTATCCGGAAATCTCAGAATTCATTCGAGCTTTTCTCTCCGGCAAAACTGGATTGCGTCTCGTGACCACTCCCATGCCTTCTCCGATTTTATTTCCTCGTTGCATCACTCGTCAGCGACGGGGCACGGCAGCACGCGCCACCCACTCGCACCTCACGCACGTCTTTGCATCCGCGACAGGGAACGTGGAAGATCAGGGTGGACGCGAGGGGCAAGAGCCGCGAGGAGGAGAAGCAATTCGAGGTCGCGGAGTACATCCTCCCCAAGTACTCGGTGGCCATCCACCCGCCGAAGGTCCTCCTCGGGGATGCATCCACCCTGGACCTCGACATCTGCGCCAGGTCCTCTCTCCCCTCTCGATCCGATTCGCCCCGAATGAGATTCCATCCGCCTCTCGGTTTCGCTTTCGTCGATTTCAATTTCTTTCAATTGCTTCTAAAGCACGACCGCACTACGACTCGACTCTCTCGACTGCGGTGCCGTTCGGAAGCGTGTCGGCACGCCGCATAAGTTTCGGAGAGGACGATATACGCATTACTTCTTCGCATTACTCCTATGCTCTTCGACGCGAAGGAGGACCTTAAACTCCATACTGAGCAAAGTACGACGTACGATACATGTTACATAACCGACGTTATCGAAAGAAAAAACCAAGACTGGTTTAACTACCGTACTTGCAAGAAATTGAGGAGGTCCAGTCGAGTCTAAGGCATAACATGTTCGTGACATGTTCACGACATGTTCACGACATGTTCATCAATCACCATGCAGAAAACGAACCTCTACTTTCTACCTCTCGGTCACGTGACGACCTGCAGGTATACCCACGGCGGAGCAGTGGAGGGCGAACTGACCCTTCGAGTGGAGCCAAAGATCTCCATCTTGGAGACCCTGAGAGACGATTACCCCGGCCTGGTGAAGGAGTTCAACCTGGACTTGGACAGATACACGCCCGTCCTCCAACTCCATGCGAGTCGACGTCGGTTAAAACCTTTAACCACGGTTAAAAAAAAAAAATAATGATTTTTTTTTTTTGCAGATTAAGGGCTGCCACAAGGCCAGCATCCCGGCGGGGTCCCTGGGCATGGACGACCGGGAGCTGAATCCCTCGTCCGTCAACGTCACGGCCACCGTGGCGGAAGAGGGGACCGGAGTCCGGTTCACGGAATCCGTGATCCTGGAGGTGGAACGGAATCCCCTGGAATTCGACTTTCACTTCACCCCGACCCATTTCAAGCCTGGTTTCGTCTACAACGGCCGGGTGAGCCATAAGATTTTCTCGCAAATATTTTAGCAATAATAATAGCGAGAAATTGTGCAGCATTGAATGGAGCCAGCCAGAATCCTTCGTGGATTATCCTTTTTTGTGGATTATGGAGATTATGCTGTCGCGTTGCAGGGTTTCAAGGGAAATGGGAGGCCAAAGGTGGCGCGGTCCAGCGGTTCTGTGCCCACGTGACAAGCGGCGTGACATGCGGCGTGACAATCGACAACGAGTGGATTCTCACTCGCACGCGGCAAACATTCATATATTAATTAAAGTAGCATCATGAACAAAGGGCAAACCGGTGAAGGTACGACGAGGTGCACGAGCTCCAAAGGCAGGATCCAAAAATGGTGCACAGACCTTCAAAGTCCGGATAAAACGTTTTCCAACCCACCGTCTAGCCCCGTGGCCGAATCCTTGCGCTTCATGGTGCAGACACAGACACAGACACAGACACGACGTCACTACTTGGCGGAAGGTCGGATGCGCGAGGCATGCCCACATCACATTCTTAGGCTTGGGCATAAATTACATATAGATAAATGGCAGCTGGGCCCATCATCCAACGAGGTCTGGCACAGACACATTCAAACACACAAGGTCACCTTTCATTCCCTGACAGTGGCGCAACCAAGGGGGGGAGGGAGTTCAGACCCCCTTCCCCCCCCTCATCTCCCTTTCCCCCCCCCCCATCTCCCTTTCC